TCAGACATATCTTCTATCTTGGAAAGATAATTTTTACTTGGAAAAAACCCGACAAAACAAAACACTTCACCTTTTATTGAGAGTACACTTTCGAAAAAAAAACTAAAATTCTTTTATTCTGACAAATATACTGTTGCATCTTTTTTTTAGTCTTTTCTTGTGACTTAAAATACAAAAAGCTGCTTATCAAATATTCCAATATGTGCCATACATACACGAGTTTCTTAGTAGGAGTGTGCGAATGTGACTGTCGATGAGTGGATGGATGCGAGTAGTTCTTCTGTTCACTCACAACCACTCATATCTACAGACCACATTCCCCATTCAGCTTCGGTAGATACGCTCAAATGACTTCGAAAGTATTTTCGTTGACACTAACCAAATAGAAAACTTAGTTAGAACGAAATCTTCCTTTAACACATCAATTTTTTAGATCTAATTGACTATTTGTTCAAATAAAGTTAACACATGCCGCCAAGAATAGTGTGACCTATGGCTAATCCGAAATGATCATAAATAGCTATCTGTAAATTTGCCTCTAGCATCTGTAAAAATATCCTTCTGTGTTCTATTGACCTCTTGTTCATCCTAATGCTCTCACTCACAGACCAACTAAAACGTTGGCTGTCACTAGCATACACAGACCGAGATGTTTAAATTTTAACATATTTACAGTTGTCCTTGTGCCCACACTACGAAATTTCATCAACCTTTAGTTCTCTTTTTCGTCATGGTTTGATAGAACACAAATATTTACATAAGAAGAAGCAATATCACACACATTCAAAAGCGATTTGACAGCAATAAAATTTTTTTGTATATTATCCTTATAATTAAAAAATAAATGTTGTCTTAGACTTGGTATAATTCACTTTTTAATATGCGTGATATTGTTTTTTCTTATGTAAATGGTCCTGCTCCATCCAACCATGACGAAAAAAGATAACTAGGCGTTGATAAAATTTCACAGTGTAGGCACATAACAAACTGTAAACTGTTTAAAATTCGAATATCTCGGTGTGTGTACGCTATTGGCAGCTCATATTTTTAATTAATTGATTTGACAGCGAGAGCATTCATTTGATCCGACTATGATCAATCTCCTTAGTTTACAGTACACGATCTTTTACTCTAAGCTATATAATAGTTGTATTATCTTTCTCTACTATGAAATACTTTTGGAAGCAAAGTATAAGTTGATAAAAGAAAAAGAAGTGAAGCCTTTTGTGCAAATATGTCAACATGATAGTTCTTGGTTTCTAAACAGTTATTCTTTCTGGTTAGTTTTGGATTTCAGAAAGAAAATTCTGATCTTTTTTCTGATTTTTAAGTCTTTCATCTAGCAACTCTGGTGAAAATACCAGAAGCGATTCTTTTCTTCTTCTTTTCTTCATTCTTCATAGAAAGAACAAGCAAAAGTGTATGTATGATTCAGACGGAAGAAAACAAGTAGAGTTACTATCTCATTCAAAAATAAATAAATAATTTTGAAAAAGTAAAATTACAATGGGCAAATATCCAAATGAAATGGGTGATTGTCCATTTTGCCCCTTCCTTGCCTACGCCGCTGTGATATTGTACACTTATTATCCATAATTCCGATTAGTTGACATATGTTGCCAAACTTATGAGTTCTATTCAGTAAAGTTTGAATTCCTTATTCTTATGCTGCATTTCTCAATATTTGATATTCTTATGTTTTACAAAGTTATCGCAAAACATTTAAATACTGTAATATTTTTTTCATAGATCTATAAGAATCAGCAACACTTTAATTAAAGAAAGTCACATTATATATGCTAAGTTATCATCTGGATAGTATTTACAGCTTGCCTATTAAACATTGTATGCTCAACCCGATAGAATTGGTGTGGGCAGGTCTGAAGCAGTATGTATGAGATTACAATGTTAATTTTCGTCTTAGCAGTGTTCGACACTTAGCACAGGAATGGATGTTGAACTTGAAAACAGCTACAGTTACGACTTACCTCAACCACGCTTACAATATCGAGGGAACGTTCAAAAAATCCGATGTTTTCACAGAACAACTCACAGGAGACTTAGTAGATGATGATGATGATGATGATGAACTGGATTCCGATGTTGAAGAAACGACTGATTAATTTAAGAAAACCTATTTTTTGTTGTTTCGTGCTGCCAACTGTTAATTTGATAATAACTATGTCCTAATCCAATATAATAAAGAGATATTCAACTTGTAGGAGTATGTTATATCATTATAGTTTGTGCCGAGGATATTCAATCTGTGATATAAAATAATCAGCACTGGTTTTACATGACAAAGAATGACTTTGTTACAATACAAACAGTTTTGTTTGATTCAGAATGATCAAAAACCCATAGATATCGCATTATGAAAACTTAAAAAGCTGGCGAAAAAATGGTGTTCTGAGCGTTTTTAACTACCAATGCGAGATGTATAATTTTTGAACAAAACAAAATAAAAATTTCAGGTTTGTGTAGAATTGTAGATCTTCAGCAGGCGAATCTAATACACACCTTACAACTGAAATTCCATACAACTTTTATAGCACCTTAGGTACTGCTTTGAATTTTACTAACCACTCATCCGAATCATAAGATGACATTTTGAATCATCCATAGAAAGATGCAGAATGCCCGCCTCTATCAAATGGTGAAAATCGCAGACTGATAGCTATTTCCATTAAAAAGGTATTCAAAAAACAACCATCCTTCCTCTGTTTTGAAACGGACAATAATTTTACGTTATAGAAAAGAAAAAGTTCTGATCTTGAGTTTATATTGGAACTTTAATCCGATCAAATGTCAATTGGATCGAACGTCGATTCGATGGAAGTTCGGACGTATTATGCTTAGTCCATCAGTACATGACTCAAATACATCGCTTCTATCTAGTCTCTGAAGTTATTTCTCTACATATTTCACTTCTAATTAAGTCATCTCTCTTTCAGCCATATATACACATCCAGTATCATTTCCAGGTTACTAACCGAAAAATTAATTTCTCATAGCACACATTCACATCTAGGGACAGATATCAATACCAGTAAATAAAAACAAGAGACAAGGTAACTAATTATGCAAGGAGAAGATAGAAAAACATGTATTTCACGCATATTCATCGGTAAATGGAAAAAAATAAATAAAGCGAAAAAATATAAAAGAGAAGGCGCAGCAAGGTTGCAGTTATCATTCTTTCTCCATTCTTCTTTTCTAGGTGTCCAAAAGAGCCACTGTCTTTGACAATTCCAAGAACTGACGATACCAGGAAAGGAAACATAAACAGTCTCTGTCTGTTTAAAGAAATTTTTTAAATGGATCATAAATCTATATCTTCCTTAGCTGAAACGTCTCCTACTACAACTGCGCCAGGTCTTTCATCTTTTCCGAACACTCGTGAGCTAACAATAACTCGAATTGTTTCTCATCTTCGTCACCAGCGCCAAACATACTTCAGCCGTTATCAATTACTTTGGTTGAAGAAGAAGGATGCTGATGACACGACAAATGACTTTCTTGAGAGTGTCAAGAAATTGATAAACGATGTACAAGTATTTTACGATTGTGACGAATGTGTCGATTGGTTGACCGATCCTACAGACCGAAAAATTATTTTAATCGTCTCTAAAAGTTATGCTGAGCTCGTCGCACCTGTGGTACACGATTTTTCACAGCTAAAAGCAGTCTACATTTACGATGGAGATGTTGAATCGTCAGTTAGTAGAGAATGGATAAAAAACTTCAATAAAGTAAGTATGTAGTCAATACACATTTACTGCTTAAAGATATTAGCAGCATCAATAACGATCTGTGGACTTGAAGTTTTACTTTTCCGATTCAGAATCACGCAGATCTGCATCTAGTGTAGTGATATCATACTGAAACAAATTGAAATTGTTGAGAATGAAGCAAGCATAGCGAGAGTCGTACAGAAAGTGTAATAAAAAACGAATAGTCCTACGTACTTCAGTTAGATTCGCAGATGTAACATTTTTTTGTTTTTATTTCCAATAACTGACGACCTTTATGGTCCTATCGTTACAAAGTTCTTTGAAAAAAAGTAGAAAAATGAGGAAAAAGACAAAAAGTAAAAAAAATTCAACAAACTTTCTATTCCTGAAAGTCTCATAATAATCAGTGTGAAGGCGTCCCAATTTGTTCGATAGACTACGTCTGTTTTTTCCACTTTTGACCGCCCAATCCATCATTGTTCAGCATTAGATCAATTGTGTGAAATAAAGCTGATTTACGAGAAGTTGATAATAGGACTGCTGTTGAATCATTATAGTCGAACGACAAGTTTGTCCACCCCATGTAAAAATTTATAAAAAGTTAACAATTTAACGAAAAAAGATGTTACCTTTTTGGCCGTAAAAACGCGTTAAAATTGTGTATTTTAATGAAATTTCACGACTTATTTTACGTTAATCTCATTTCAATGAAGTGACATTAGTCTCTGAAAAAAGGTTTTTCGGAAGAATTCAACGATGACTAGAACCGAACTTCATCCGAGCGACCTTAAAATGATTCCATTTGATGCAGCTCGAAACACTAGATGGAACAGATACATTTTCGACAATAAAAGGCTTTTGAAAATGATTGAAGTATGGATTCCTATAGAGTTTGGCATGCCCTATCAAATGACACGATAAAAGAGAGGTGAAAAAAATGACTTGATTTTCGAATTACTTGCATCTCATGTTTCCACAAAAGTACTCACCGGTTATCTAGGAGAATTATGCTTATATCAAATACTCAGTATATTGAACTTTGTCTGCTTGTGTGCCCACAATAAGACACGTAAAACAACAACATTAATTTTCCGTCCCTCCTTACAGGTTAAAGATGTT